TTTCCACGACATTCTAATTTATTGAGATGCACCTGTATACTTAGTACGAAATAAATGTATTTTATATATATATTACTTTTTTACTAGGGCAGTTAACTGTGTTATTTTAGTATGATTAAGATACTATTATAGTTTTATAGTATAATTACGGTAAAATGAGAAATGCTTCCATGGCAACTAGGTGAAATAAAATGAGTTTATTTATTTTTTGTATATTTTATTTTAGTTAAGAATTTTTTATGGTTTTAGTTTTACCTTTAGTTAATTCTAACTGTTATAACTGTTACTTTAGTTAGTTATACTGTAACTGTAGAGTACTGATTGTGAACTTGTAGTATACTTCAAATCTTAAAAGTATATATTTAAAAAAAAAAAAAAAAGCTGTACTTGCAGGTAATATAATATCAATTAAATAAAAAGGCACTTAAACATGGTTATCAGTTCCCTTTCAGTCGGTCACTTTGAACGTCACGTCGACCGATGAATTGGGATCTCACTAGAGAGACCAATCTACTTCGAGTGTAAACTAAATAAGCCAATGCACATTGGCATGCGATGATTGCATCCAGCTGCCACTGACCACAGCGTGAGTATAAACAGGAAGCGGGTGCAATGCATACTTCAGCTTTTCGCTTCAGAGCAGAGCAGAGTCAATCGTTCTGCTCTTATCAAGCTTCGGTTGTGAACGAGACGAGTTCAGAGAGAGAGGGAGCTTCTTCGTGTTGGTGGAACGGCGCTACAGCGGTGGTCATTTTCCCATGTAGAGTGGGTTGCACACATCAGGCTGCACTACCCCCTGTTTGTGTTGCAGGTGGCCATCTCCCCTGTGCGCTTTAGCATGCTCTAAAAGGACTGTACCAGCCGTATCCTTTGGGGCTCCCCCCGATGATCGGATGTCAATTGCTGCATCGGAGGGTGAGCCGGAGCTTTCTGGAGAGGAAGATTTGGCGCCGATATCCCCCTCCGGGATGGTGGCAGTGCCCAAGTCGGATCCAGAGATGACGGCTATGCTTGCCGGGGCTGCCAAGAGGGTAGGGCTCGAGTGGAAATCTCCACCGTGTCCCGAGCCCTCGAGGTTGGATGATTGGTTTCTCGGGGTGGCCGGCGCTGGTTCTCAGTGCCCCACCCCGGTGCCTTTCTTCCCGGAGGTGCACGAGGAGCTTACCAGGTCGTGGACGGCACCTTTTACTGCTAGAAACCGGCCTGCTAGCTCCTCCTCCCTCACCACCCTCGACGGTGGTGCAGCTAGGGGTATACGGAGATCCCCCTGGTGGAGCGGTCGGTAGCGATGCAGTTGTGTCCTAATACCGCCTCCACCTGGCGGGGCAAACCATGCCTTCCCTCCTGGGCCTGTAGGTACTCGTCTGGTCTGTCCGGCGATGCTTATGTGGCTTGTGGAGAAGCTGCCTCTGCCTTACACGCTACGGCGTTACTGCAGGTCCATCAGGCTAAAGCACTGCCTGCACGAGGGTGGTCACGATCCGGAAGTTCTGAAAGTGCTCCGAACTGCAACTGACCTTGCGCTCCGAGTGACGAAGGTCACCGTGAGTTCTCTGGGTTGTGCGATGTCCACGCTTGTTGGCCAAATCATTGGCCAAAGCTGCACATGTGAGCAGCGCGACGCATGCGTGTGATGCTGATGCAGGAGCCGTCCAATAATGAGCCAGCGTTCTGACATAGAACCTGGAAGCGCTGGACGTAAACAACGTATGAGAATGACACAGAAGAGAAGAGGTTGTTGAATAAAGTCGTTATTTTTTTTTTTGTTTTTGTGCACAAAAAGTATTCTCGTC